CCGCAAGCAAGCAAAGTGAGGTTCAAAAAGATCTTTCAGGTACTAATGGAGTCTTTTTCATATTCATTTCCAACTTTGCTCGATGAACTCCCTAAAGAAACATGGTATATAGCCGATCACCTTTCTGCTGCCATGGCTGCAAGGTCATGCTTCCAAGCAAACGATTCCGATATACTTTTGGCTTCTTCTATGAAGACAGGCACCACATGGCTCAAGGCGATCATCATCATCCCCACGATTATGAATCCTTGTGGTCGTGCCACAACCGATGATAACGACGACCCTTCGCTCAAGCATCATCCTAATGAACTGATGCCATCTCTGGAAATTCAGATTTTCAAGGTAAACAAAAATCCTGATCTCTCAGATGTGCCTTCTCCGAGACTATTTGGAACCCATGTTCCTTACCCTATGTTACCCGAATCTGTTAAAAACTCTTCTTGCAAGATTGTTTACATTACTCGAGACCCTAAGGACTCGTTTGTGTCGTACTGTCACTTTATGAACTCTGTGGTTACTGATAGAGTAACAGATCCATGGCCCATGGTTGAAGCTTTCGAGAGCTTTAGCACAGGGATTCATGCATTCGGGTCGTTCCATGACCATGTTTTGGGCTATTGGAAAGAGAGTATAACGAGATCCGAGAAGATACATTTCATGAGATATGAAGACCTGAAGAAGGAGCCGAAGGAGCAGCTGAGGAAGCTGGCTTGTTTCCTGGAAAGGCCTTTCCATAAGGAAGAAGAGATGGAGAAAGTGTTGTGGAGATAACACCTGGAAAGGCTTAAGAGCCTGGAGGTGAACCAACATGGCGTCGACCCTTGGTTAGGCATTGGCTACAAGCATTATTTCAGGCTTGGCACTGTTGGAGACTGGAAGAACCACTTCACTGATGAGATGAAAGAAAAGTTGAATTGTATTACAGCCATGAAATTTGAGGGTTCTAGTCTGAGTTTCGGAAAATAATTTAATATTTGCTACTTCTAAAACTCTGTTTTCATGTCTGTACCTTGTGCTTTGTTGCTTCGGATGCCTGAAGGTGTTTTCTAGTGAATATTGTTTGATAGATGGTTTGTTCTTGGCTTTCTTAATGGAATTGGAGGCTTGTAAGTGTCGTAATCGTCTTTCGGTTTGGCCCCAGAATTGGGCTTCGACTTAGGAAAATGGATTGGAGTCGCCACCGATCATTTATTTAAAAATAAATGGGTTGATCGGATACCCTATTTTTTACCTGATCTGCGTTTTTACCAGAAATGTGTCGGGTTCGGGAGTCGGGTTATGGTCAAGGAAGGATTAGCACCCTTGAACCGCCCTTTCGGTACTATATAATTTCCAGTTGTCTTTAATTAAGAAAATCGTAATTTTAAATTGAAGGGTAAAATATCGATCCGACTACTTACAATTGATTGACTTGAAAGTGAACCTTTTAGGAGCCGAAACGTGTATTAGAAAAGGTGATGAAAATGAATTAAAATTGAAAGATAAAGAAAACGAAACAAAGAACAAAAATAACAATAGATGATACACCAAAAGTAACATAATCGTCATGGAGATATAGAACATGAAGGAAATAAAAATGAAGACAAGTATGACAACATGTGATAAGATAAAAAATGAAAGAATAAAGAAATAAGAAAATAAGACCCAATAAAACGGAAAAAGAAAGGAATAAATAAATAAATAAAACATAATAAAGGTGAAATAAAATAATATACAAATGTAAAATGATAAGAATTAAATAAAATGTACATATGTATATAAAAAATGTAAAATAATAGCGTATAAAGTAAAATTAATAAAAACATATAATAATATTAATTCCATATATATATAATAGCTAAATATGGGAGAGAGGAAAAATATATAATAATAATAGAAAAATTAAATAATAAATATAGTAATACAAAAGTAAGGAAATAATAAGATAAAATACAAAACATATACATATATAATAACGTGTATATATAATTTAGTATGAAAATGAAATGAAAATGAAAAAAGAAGTACGAACGGTAATATATCTATACGTGTATATATAAGAAATAATGAAAAAATGGTATAATATAACATAAATAAATAAAACACCAAAAATAGATAAATATATAATTTAGTATGTATATATATATAATAAGGATTGAAATGAAAAGAAAAGCAAATCGAGTGGCCAATTTGAAAGCAAATCGGAGTTTAAAATCGGATTTGGGACCAAAATAACAGGCCTTTAAGGAAGGAGGGACCGAAAGGGTAGTTTACCCTAATTTATTACAAAATGCACGAATCTAATATAAACATGGATCAAATATTTTTTTAGTTTCATTTTCTCTTCTTCACGTCGAGAGAGCCCTCTCTCTCTCTCAATGTTTCTCTGAAACGTCCTTGTGTTCTTGAAGAACACATGAACGCCGCCGCTCGTCCCAGATTCCGGCCGCCGTTGCCGGCGCCGACCGCCGCTCTCCGGCGGCAAAATGTAAAATGTTTTCGTTTTTTTGAAAGCCCTTCGTACACTCGTTCCAAAAATATCCATAGTTATGTTAGATCAAGCATCGAGGAGAGTGGATCTACGAACGGAGATTCGAAAAAATCCCCACCTCCTCTGTCATTGGCTTCTTGTTTCGAACCAACAAAGAAAGAGCATGAACGACACACATGCAAGGCAAAGAATGAACCGAAAGCAAGGTAAAAAGAGAAAAAAAAACCTCTTTTATTTCTTTTCGAACTTGTTACAAAAGGCTTCGAAGTTGCTTGATATTTCTCTCAATATTTCGTGTGATTTTCTTGCCAAATTCGTCCTCCCCTAATCATGTTCACTTTACATGTATTTATAGTCTAAGAATACTAGTCTTAGTCCCGATTTTCTAGCATTTTATTTGGACTAAATCACTGTTTGGTTGGTTGTGGATGTATCCTTGTATCTCACGTCGTTGTGCTTGTTGAACATGCGAGAAATGACCGTGAAAGGAGGCGTGCGGCCGTGAAACTCGGGAGTTGGGACTGCTGCGCGGCGCTGGGTCTTCAACGGGGGAGAACGGCGCTGATGGAGTGTGTGAAGCTAGGGTTCTTTGGAAACCCTAAGTATGCACGGGTTTGGGTCTTGGCTGGGGCACTTGGGATTTGGGCCTTTATTGTTGGGCCTGTAACAGAAATTTAAGGATGTAAATAAACTATATTATAATTTATAACATAATATAATATTATATATATGTATGTATTATGATGGGCGAATTTCAGTGTCTTCAGTAAATGAATTGCAGTTGAAATGTGGATACATAGTACTCGATACAAGTAAAGTCATTCCCCGTAGATCTCCTCTACGCTAGCAAAGAAAAGATATTTTCTACCATCATCTGATTATATAATTGTCTTGATGATATCAAGTGATTCCAGTTTTCAAGTGTAGTGTTTGTACATTACTACATATACATTATGTTTCCCTGGTTAATTTGTAAGGGAAGACTTCTTTCAAAGAGGACCGCACAAGAAGACGCATGACGATGGATCCTAGTAGTAGTTGTTGTGTTTGTGGTGCGCCGAATGAGATCAGCTCTCATATCCTTCGAGAATGTCCCTCTGCTCCTCTGGTTTGGCAGCATTTGATTAAAAGGGAGCGAATGAATGAGTTTCTTAGCACGGACATAGGAGCATGGATCGAAATGAACCTCACTGAAACAGGCGTTTTTAGGAACGTCGAGGCTGATTGGGACTTACAGTTGGGATCTGTGATTTGATGCCTTTGGACAAGACGGATATAGACTTGTCTTTAACACTAATTCGCGGCCGAAGAGAGTGTTTTCCAACATAAAAATATTTAAGGAAATACAACTTAATATTAGGTTAAGAATGTCTAAATACACGAGATAATGTGTTTGGAAAATTTTATTTTACGAGATAATGTTCTTGCCAGATTAATTGTTGGGATAGGGCGAATGCTACAGTCCCCATGTAGGTTGTCATGCACTCCCAACGACCTGTATTATCAGAAATATTAATATTTTTTAACATTTGTAATATAGTGTTACTTAAAATGTTATTTTTTTATATCAGAAATATAAATATGGGCGCTAACTAAAATATTATTTTTTCTACCAGAATTATTAATATCAGAACTATTAATTTTAGGTAGTCAAATTGAAGCCAAAAATACGCTTCGAGTTATTATTTACAACATACGGAATATAAAAAATGTAATTATTTAAAATAAGGTCTAGCTTCGAGTTATTAGAAATGAATCTTATACCTTAAAAATAATATATTTGTCCACTAAAGATTATAATATTAATTTTATATTATATTACATTTTATATAAATATATATGATACTTGTGTATATTATTTAAAAATGTATATTTAATATATTAATTATACTAATTATACGTTAAATACATTTATCCTTAAAAGTTAGATAGTTTACAAATTAATTATTTTTATAAATTTTTATTCAAACATTTAAAACTTAACATTAAAATTTAGTTTGTTGAAAATAACATATCTCAAATAAATAATTTGATAAAAATATACATCCAAACAATCTTATATTTATCCAATCAAACACTTAAAACTTAAATTTCTGCTAAACAAATCAAACAAAATAATATAAATTTTTTATAAAACCGTTACATTTTAATAATTTTATTCTCAAAAATAAATTTATACTTTACAAACCACATATTCTATCAGCCTCTCAAGATAAAAGATGAGAGTTTTTGAACTGAGTCGAAACTTTGGACACATAGATGAACATTGTGCCCAAAGTTGAAGAGCTTGTTTAGCTTTAGCAGCCTAAAAGGTAGGCCTTTGATGTGAAAAAACTACTTATCCATATTCAGATTTGGACTATTTTTAACATTAACTTTAATGATGAAATAATAAAACAATAGAAATTAGTAACTTTAATAACTAAGTATAATACCAATCCCAACTTTTGGAGACACGATATTAAAATTGTTAATATAATTCTGTAGAAAGGACAGAGAAAGGGATGGGGACAACGTGGTAACTCGACGCCGCCAGTACAGCTGACGGCTGATTGCCGGCGGATATACCGCCGGTATCTTCTACGTTCAAAATTCATTGTGTATCACGGTTGGATCAGTAATCAAGCCCACCCTATACCTACTAGCTACTCACTATCTCGGCTCAGCTCAGCTCAGCTATTACTACCACTAGGTGGTCTATGATTTCCCACGTGGCTTCCAGTCTCTTGGTGATGTGATGGTTGCCTAGCTCCTCGGTTCCCTGCAAGAAAAGTACCTGAAACGGAGGCTTTCATTAAGACTGAGATTAAAAAATTAATACTTTTAGGTGAAAATATATTATTGCTGTATAATATATATATAATTTGTTTATTTATCCACGTAATTACGAAATATGGATTTTTATTAATCGAAATTTGTGTTTGTTATCTGAAAAAAGCAGGGGACAATCTCCGGAAGCAGTCGGAGCTTTGGGAAGAAACAAAAGATGAACAGATGGCTGGGGATATATCTTGGATTTTGAACCGTTGATCAGAAAGTGGGACCCCATTCCTATAAAAGAAGAAATTTTGAATTTTTTTTATAAGAATCATAGGCTATGGGATGGGGGATGGGATGGCAGCTTTAAACGAACCAAGTTGTGTGTTCGCAATGCTCTGCGTAAAACAAAAGTGGGATCCGATCCTCTCTATTCAACACCTTTTATATTATATTGTTACTTATTACAAAGTATATTACTTTAATATTGTTATTTGCTTCAACGAATTCAGCCTATAATTTGATTTTTTTAGTGTATTAAAACTTGAAATTATGAGATTATTTTATTTTTGTGTTCTCTAGAAGTTTAAAAAATATTATTGTTATTTGTACTTGTGAAAAAAGCTTTTATATCTCGTCCACAACTCGCACTTTCGCTGCCACTAGTTCGATTATTAAAATATTTTGAGGAATTCTTCCGATGATTG